TGGACAGTGGATGGGGTACCTCCCGTCTTCATCCAGCACCGGGAGGAGGACACATAGACCATACCTGAGACATGTGGTAGCATACTCTTTTCTTTTTTTTTTTTTGGCAGAACTGGGGCTTGAACTCAGACCTTTGAGCTTGCCAGGGAAGCACTTATTCTACTGAGCCATCTCCCCGGCCCCAGTTGTTGTTGTTGTTTTTTTTTTTTTTTCACTTTTTGGATAGTATCCTTTGATTCATGAAAGTTTTAAATTTTCATGATGTGAGTTTTCCTTTCTGTTCTTTGACTGTTTAATATAATATTTAAAAATCCACTGCCATAAATAAAATTATGAGGATTTATCCCTATATTTCTTTGAAGAATTTTATAGTATTAGTTCTTAAATTTAGTTTTTTTTTTTTTTTTTTTTTTTTTTTTTTTTTTTGGCAGAACCAGGGATTGAACTCAGTCCCTTGCGCTTGCCAGGGAAGTGCTTATTCTACTGAGCCATCTCCCTGGCCCCATACTCTTGACACACTGTTGGTAACAGTCATATTATTACAGCTAACATAGTATTGTTCAGTGTCCTAAGCAGAGCGCGGTCTCTCTGGGCCTTGGCACACACTTCCCTTTGCTTCTCACTCCTTCATCTGACTCACTCCTAACTCTTCTTGAGGGCCAGCTCAGCGGTGCCTCCTCCAGGAGGCCTTCTCCTGCCCCCTCCCATCCTGCTCCCAGGACTGCATATTTGCTACACTGCACCACCAGTGTAGTTTCAGGACGGCACTTCCACCACACTGTGATCAACTTTGGGTTGGGAGGACTTCTGATTCATCTCTGGATTCCCAGGGAATGAGTGGGGGATGGTGACAGCCATGCCTCTGAGGAGAGGTGCTTGGGAGCTGGAGGCTGCACCTCACATGGGGGCTGTACCCTCAAGTCCCGGGATCCACCCTCCCTGTTGGCCTCACTTCCCTAGGTGCTCACCTGTCCACAGGCGTTTTTTCTGAGATGTCCTCAGCACCCATGGCCTTCTAGGAGCTCTTATACTTGCGTGATAGCTTGGTAAAGGCTCTTGGGATGGGAGATAGAGTCTTTTGACAACTTGTTTGGAATTATCTGTGCTACCCTCTAGTGATAATGAAGGAAGCAAAGGGCCCTAAAAGGTGAAGAGGAGAGCTTCCAGCTGGAGAAGAGGAGGGCCAGCCTGTCACAGGATGCTTGCTCTCCTGTACACTTTACCCTTACCATACCCAGCAGGACTCCAGGTACCAGAACAGCACACACTATAAGTTATTGTTCACATAGCTAGCGGCAGGCAGCACCTGCGATTGAGGCTTAACACCTGTTCCAATCTTGCCCAGCCAGGTCCTGGCTCCAGAACTGGGCTGCCTCCTGCCAGAATTTTGCAGGTGAGACTCCAGAGAGGTCCAGAGCTTGCCAGCAGCCTCAGGCTGCATGGCTAGAAACAGCACTGCAGCAGCAGGGCAGGCCAGAAGGAGCAGCCTGGCTCATGCTCACCTGGGTCTCAGTAGCCAGAGAAGCAAAGCAGAGCATGCGTCAGTCCTGGAGTGCCTTGAGCGGGGTGGAGAAGGGTGTGAAAGTAGGAAGCCTCTGAGGCAGCAAGGGACCCATGCAAAAGTCCACTCTGCATAATGGGAAAGGTCAGGCCCCGGCACACCCCTGGCAGCTCACTCCACAGGCTGAGCCCTTTTCTTTTTTGACTCTGGCACCAGAGAGGGCCCATAGCACTATAGAAACTCATCTCCCTCTCTTCCTTGCTCCTGCCCACTGAGATAGAGTTCTCACTCGTATGAAGCTAGTCCTACATCGCTGTGCATGGCAGGACAGGGCTAAGCAGGGGTCTGAGAGTGCCCTTCTGCTGGAGACCCCTGACCTGTCTGGGCTGAGAGCCTCTCAGTCTTCTTGCTATATGTAGCCCATGACTCAAGCGTGCTTTCTTGCCCCTTCTTTCTTTTTTTTTTTTTTAAATTTATTTTTTTGTGTGTGTGTGTGTGTGTGTGTGTGTGTGTGTGTGGTGTGTGTGTGTGTGGCCAGCTCCGACCACCAGGGGGCGGGCTGGCTGGCATGTGGTGTTGGGGGATTGAACCGCGGTCCCTGGGCTTCGGGCTTCGCTAAGCTTGTTCTAAGTAGGTGCTTTAGACCACTGAGCCATCTCACCAGCCCTTCTTTCTTTCCTTTCTACCTTGGATGAACTTCAGGAACCCTGACTTGACTCATCTCCATGCTCTTGGAAGGAACAAGTAGCAATACCCACCAGGGTACTCTGGACCCCTCTGGCCTGTCCTTATCTGGACTGCTTGGCTTTTCCTATCCCCCTAGCAGGAATTAGAAGCTGGTGTTTGAACAAATTCCAGATTATGTATGGCAACTGGGTCCCGAGAGGCAAAACCAATGGGATCAGGGCCCTGCCCAGAGGGAAGCCTGGGGTTCTGACAGAGGCCCACACACAGACAAAAGAAGTGCCAAGAGGGAGTGGGCATATGGGCAGAAGACTAGAGTGAAAAAGCAGCCCCAGGATCCCCAGGTTCACCAAGGCAGGCTTAATTTCCCTCCATTTTCCCCTTCAACAAGTTACCCTGTGATTCCAATTCTATTTCCCTCAAGGCAAAGAGAAGGACTCTGGGGACACTGGTAACTCAGGCCCCAAGGTTCTGAGGATGGGCTACTCCCATTCTCTGACTGGTTGTGTGGGCACTAGGCCTTGTTTGAAGCTGAGGCTGTTTAAAGCCAAATGACCACCCTGCTGCCTCCTTCAGCCTGGTTGCAAGACGGGCCCACTTTTCCTACTGTTCCACCTACCTGAATTTCTGGACCTGACTTCTGTCTTCTCTCTTGCTTGCTACCTACTTGACACTGCCTGAACTTGGCCTTGCTTGGGAAAGGGCTGTGGAATTAAACCAAATTACACTGAGACTCCCCTGGCAGGTTAAGCTGTTCCTACCCTCAACTCTCCTCTAAATCCCCAGAAGGAACCACTAACTTCTTACTGTAGGCAGAGGGCCATCTGTCATCAATCTCTGGCAAGAGGCTTGGGTATTAGAAGATGAATGACCTGAGCAGTGCAGCACCCCTCCCCTGGGGGCGCTGGTGACAGAGCTGGGGTGGGGGGAGTGGATGCAGACAAGTTGGTAGGTGTCCCTGTAGGCTCAGAGCTGGGGAACAGGTCTGAGGAGGGGATTCAGTGGGTGGTCTACTAACAAGCAGTCTCACACTACTCTGCCAAAGACACTCCCTAAGGAAATGAGCCCAGGCACTTGCCTGCCTAGAATAGTGACTCCAGAATCCAATCACACCCAAAGAGCAGAACCAGACTCTGGCAGCTTGAGGACCCAACTACAGGTCCGTGACAAGGTTACAAAGAGACAGGTCCACACATAAAAGCTTGGAAGCTGCCACCCTCAAATCTTGGGGGCCTACAGTGTCTGAAGAATGGCCTGAGGACTCCAATAAGGCCTAGCTCCTGACTGGGAAAGATGGAAGGACCCATAAAACCAGAGTCAGATAGAGCTCAGAAGGAGTAGTGAGGGGCAGCCACAAGGCCAGGGCAGCGAAGCACGCAGACTGAGAGTAATCTTAGGGTGGACTTAGAGATAAAAGCTTTCTTTCCCTGGGTTATTCAGGCCAGGGAAGGCTCAGGACTGTTGGGATCTGGCAAGAAGAGGCTGAGAAAGGGTGTGTACCTGGGTATCAAGAGGCTGGTAGCACACATCAGGCATTTCAGCTCCAGTAACCTCTACCCTCAGTTACATTGCTATCTTTTATTTTTGAGTCATTATTGTTCCTTTTGAAGGCTCCTACTTGTTCTTTGTGGGGCTAGGGGTCTAACTTGGCAGCCGGGGAGGCAAAGGCAAAGCCCAGGCAAAGAGGGAAGGGGCTGGTGCCAGGGAAGCTCACCACTCTCTCCTTGTAGACGATGTACTTCAACCACTTGAAGTCCTGCCACTTGAAGCCAGCGAGGACAAAGAGAGAATCGCGCTCATACTGCTCAGGCCTCTGCATGGCGCCCTCTGGGTAGGTGATGCGCAGAGTTGTTTTGCTGCCCACATCTTTCTCAAAGCCCTTAACTGGTGCTGAGTTCAGTCTACAGAGAGCAGGCACAGTCAGAGTCTGCCTTGGGTCACATTTGGGGAGACACTGTGACCCCAGAATACCCCAGGTGCAGGGAATGAGGCATCTATGTCACTTCAAAGCCCACCAACCTGCCAGATGTGTGGGCACACGCCAGTAATCCCAGCACTTGGGAGGCTGAGACAGGAGGATTTCTATGAGTTTAAGGCTAGCCTGAACTGCACAGTGAGGCCCTGTCTCAAAAGGGGGGGGGGGAGAAGCCCACCAACTTTATATTCTTGAAGTTGTCACTGAACTCTAACCCAAGTGGCTAGACAGACTGGCACATCCTCGATGGGCTAGAGGGTCAGTGTTGCGCCTTGACACTCAGGTGCCCAAGGGGCTGCTCTGGGGAGCTCACCTGACCACGATGTCATAGTCATCAATGCGTGACCCCAGAGACTTGTTGGCAAGGACACCTCCATTGCCCACGATGATGCAGCGGCGGCAGCGGAGGCTGAAGGGAGAGTGGGAGGCCTGTGAGGAGCTGGCGCCAGGTCTCCTTCCTTCCGTCCCTTTGGTCTTTGACCCCACACCTTTGGCCAGGACCAGGCTGGGGCAGAAGAAGCCAAAAGACTTCCAGCAGTATTTCCAAGGAGAGCCCGGAATCTCAAAGCAGGACCCTGGGCCCTGGGGCTCTTCTACACCCCTAAGTCCTAACATTTTCCAAGGAATACATGAGTGCAAAAAATTAATTATTTTTTTAAAAATAAAGAACATAGGGCCAGAGAGACAGCTTAGTGGACTAAGTGCCTGGCCCTGGGCGTGCTGAGCTGGCCACTGAGACCTAGTGTGGTGGTGCCCGCCTGTAATCCCAGTGCTGGGGAGGCTGAAACAGGAGGATCATTACAAGTCCGAGCTGCGTAGTGAGACCCTATACCAAATACACAAAATATGGAACACTTTATGAGCTTGTGTGTCACCCTTGCGCAGAGGCCATGTGAGTCATGTCTGTATTGGTCGAATGTTAGCATACGTGCTGCCGAAGTGAGCACAAGTACAGCAAATTTAGAAATGAACCAGGGAGGTGAGGAGGGGACTCTGGTAATGCAGCATTCAAGGGTGAAGATTCCCCAAGGATTAGTGGGGTGTAGGTAGCCTTAGGGGCCACAGAAATGGGCTGAGCTCAAAAGGCTCTACTAGGTAAACAAGAACAAGAGAAGGGACTAGAGGTCCAGGGTTAGAGCTTAGCTTATTTTCAACTTGGAAGCCTATAGACCACCAAGGACTGGTTCTGTTTCTCTTAGCCCTGACCCTGGAGCTTTCTAACCCCTTGCCTATTGGTTTCAGTGCTATTCTGTCCCTCAACATAAAGCTCCTCACTGCCAAGACCCTCCGTCCCCTTGCTGGTCTGATCCCAACCCTATTGCCTTTAGTTTTTACCCTCAGACCTTGGATGTCTGAGGGCTGCAATGTCTTGCCAAGTGTTGCCAGTCCCCAGAGGGGCAAGCCACTTACCTGCTTCACTCACCCCAGCATGTACCTCAACACTTCTGCATATGCTAGCAGCCAGAGAGAGGGGCTCACCTGTCCAGGGCAGGGGTCAGGCGGTACTCTTTGGTGACTGACAAGATGGCTTTGATCAGATTGTCTGTGGAGAGAGGAGGGAAGTGACTGTTAAGAGGGTCACTTAAATCCTCGCAAAATATTTCTCAAACCCTGCTTGAAGGCACAAGTTCCTGGGGCCAGAGTGAAAGTGGGGAGGTGTTCAGGACACAAGGTAAGGTCAGGCCATTCTCTTAACACTGAACGACTTACTGTAAGTGTCACTTAGGAGCACACTTATGCACTATCCTGAGTGATGCTTGGGCAGGTGTCATTTCTTTTTTAAAACATTTATTTATTTATTTACTTATTTATTTGGTACAGGATCTTGCTATGTAGCTCGGACTCGTAGTGATCTTCCTGTCTCATCCTCCCCGGCACTGGGATTATAGGCTTATGCCACCACACCCAGTTTCAGAGGCCTGCACAGCAACGGGTTGGCATGGCATGTGGTACCGGGGATCAAACCTGGGCCCTTGTGCTTACCAGGCAGGTGCTTAGACTACTAAGCTATCTCCCCAGCCTGGCAGGTGTCTTTTTTTTTTGTGGTAGTAAAGGTCAAACTTGGGACCTTACGCTTGCCAGGCAGGCTCTTAAGCTGCTGAATTATCTCTCTGACCCCTGCCAGGTGTCATTTCAACCAGCTGCTTCTTGTTTGCAGGAGATATGCCCATGCTTGTTTTTATATTCCTTGTTATAGTTATATTACCCTATAAAATTAATGAAACAAATGCCAGTTTTGGTCATCCTGTATTTAAATAATTGGACTGCTAAGTGGTTAATTCTCTCCCTTGAGAAAGGAGATGGAGACAGGAGGCAGAGGCAGACATGTCTGCCAGGAGCCAGTCCCTAACACAGGCACGCGTGTCCTTCCCAGGGTGTCTTCGCCTTCCTCAGAGATTCATCTGCTTTGCTGAGGTTCTGCAGTTGGGCCCCAGGATATGCTTCCCCAGGTGAAAGTAGAGTCTTCCCCAGAAACGAGATCTCTAGTCAGAGACCACAGGTGTTCACCCTGTGCCCCAGCAAGCAGACAGCCAACAACGAATGGGGGTGGGGAGCAGATAGTAACGAAGACCATCCCGAGGTAGACCACTTACCTGGTTTCTGCTACCAGCAGCTTTCCCCTGCTTCCTCCCTCTGGCACTGCCAATCTCTGATCCTACCCTGTGCCAGGCTGGCCCTCCCTCTGTGTCTCCTCAGGCCCCTTCAGCCGCACATTTATCTGCCAGCCTGCACTCTACAGGCTGACCTCAGCAAGACCCCAGGATCTCTGCCCTCTCGGACTCTGACCACTATCAGACCTCTTCCCTTCGGGGCCCTTCTCTGGCTTTAGCTATGGTGACTGCTCTCTTTTCAAACTCTGGTATAATGGAAGCATGATGGTGTAATGAGGAATGTGTAGTGAAGGTAACAACTATGGAGTTAAATCCTGGCTCTGTGGCCTCATGTAAATGACCTGTTTTCTTTGAGCTTTAGTTTCCTCATCTCTTAAAGGAAGACAGTAACCTTTACTCAGAGTTTTTAAGATTTAAGACATTGTATGTAAAGACCTAAATATCAGCTGGTGCCCCACAGTGGAGAGCACTTACTCATGCCAAGTAAGATTATAGGTATGCATGACTAGGACGCTGCAACTCTACTCCTAGGAAAAACTTGAAAACCCACCTACTTGCTCAGAGACCTGTGAAAGAATGTTCACTGCACAGCTCTTTGTAACAGTAAAATGCTGGAGGTGACCCAAGTATCCACCGAGGGAAAAGATTACACGTGGCACACAAAACACTGCACAGCCACACACACGAAATACTACCCAGTCCAAAAAGAATCTATAGGGGCCGGGGAGATGGCTCAGTAGAATAAGCGCTTCTCTGGCAAGTGCAAGGACCTGAGTTCAATCCCTGGTTCTGCCAAAAAA